CAAGCACTGGGTTCCCAGAGGGGTCAGCTAGTGAGATAGGGACAGGTCGAGGAAGGGGAGTGACTGTGGTGCTGTCGCGAAAGAAATAGCGGGAAGCACCAGAGTCAAGTGTAAAGGTGTGCAAAGCCTGAGGGGACGAAGTACCAGGGAGAGCAGACTCACTACCACCTAGGGCTGCAGGCACTATATCTGGGTCTATACCGAGGTCAGGCGGCACACACAAGTAACAGTCACCCTCAGCACTAATAGTCAATGCATACATAGCAGCAAGGATTGCATCATAGTCAAGATCAAAGATAGGTACATCATGCCTAAGCAGATCTGCCCAGTTGGGGAATTCAGTAGCATCAGGAAACTTGGCGTGCCAGGCGTCGCTAAGCCTAGCGAAGCAGCGGTACTCAGTGTGAAAGCCGTTGCATGGGCGACCCTTACGGGGACCAGTGAGAATGACATAGGGGCAGCGACCAGGACCCCCAGACGCCCCACGCCCGGCATACCAGTCATGGAGCTGCTGAGAAGAGGGGTTCTGGCGCTGCTGCTGCTGCTGCTGGCCCCCACTGGAACTCCCCTTCTGGCCGGTCCCACTCCCACCCCCACCTCCACCGCCACCACCACTGCCTCCTCCCCCACTACCTCCGCTGCCACCTCCATCACTCCCGGTTCCACCGCTGCCCCACCCACCTCCTCCACCCCCACGACCACCCCCACCACCGCCACCACCCCCGCCGCCTCCACCACCGCTCCCTCCACCGCCACCGCCACCACCCCTGCCACCCTTGCCGCCCCCGCCACTGCCGCGCTTCCCACCAGGAGCGGAAGCCGCTGCAACCTTCTCAGCACCGAGGAGGTCGACTGCAGCAACAGCAGAGGTGTAGGAGGGGGCAAGAGGGGAGGGGGAGCACTCCTCAAAGAGGGGAGTGCACGGAGTGCCACGGGCAGCACCTACAGCGAGGATGTTCTTCTCTGCTGCTAGGAGCTGCTGCACGAAGTCGGCTAGAGTGATAGTGGTAGGGTCCTTGGCGAGGAAATGGTCCCTGACCGAGCTAAGAGTGTCAGGGAGGCGAGTGACGAGGATGTAGAGGGTAAAGTACAGCGGTGGGGTGTTCGTGGCGAGGAACTTGTCAGTAAGAGCGGCACGAAAGCGGGCGTCACTAGCGCGGAGGTGAGATATGAGGTCCTCAGCGGTGGTAAACGAGGACAGGTCGGGGAACAGGTAGGGCAGGATGAGGCGTCCTACGGCTGCAGTGGCTGGGGAGGAAGAGCGCGCAACTACAGCGTCGTGCAGCGCCTTAGCAGTCTTGTGCTTACTAAAATGCGCGCGCTCAGTGATCGGAAGGTGGTTGCGGATAGCGAGGCGCGCAACAGCATCGCGAGTCTGCCATTGTGAGCGGTCGAGAGCAGTAGCACTGTCAGCAGGAGCAGGTGCAGTGCCTGACGCGTGATCGAACAGAGAAACGCCGTCTTTGGCATCCGTCATGAGGAACAGCTGCAGATCGTCAAGCCAAGTGGCAAATTCTATCGGGCGACCGTCAGGCTCGAATGCGAGAACGTTAAGTGTCGCCATGATGGCAGTGTTGATTCAAGACAGGCAGGCGCAAGGGAGGCAGGCGCACTACAGGCAGGCAGGCGCAAGGCAGGCCGGTGCACTTCAGGCAGGGCGCAAGGCAGGCAGGCTTAAGGCAGGCAGGCACACCTCAGGCAAGGCGCAAGGCATGCAAGGCGCAAGGCAAACAAGTGCAAGACGGGCGGCGCGCGGCTAGAGCGGACGCGTGGCACACGGGCGGCGAAGTGCGCAGGGCGCGGCGGCAGGCCACTCGCGAGCTGGCAGGGCGCAATGCGGGCGGTGCGCAGGCAACGCGCGGACGGTGCGCGGGCGGTGCGCGGGCTGCGCGCGGACGGTGCGCGGTCTGCGCGTTGGCTGCGCGGGCGGGCTGCGCTGGCTCGACGCAGGCTGCGCGGGCGTGCGCGGAGCAGCTGCGGGCCGTGCGTGGGGCCGCGTGGGCTCAGGGCGGGCTGCGCGGGCGACGTGCGGGGCGCGACACGGCTGGCAGCAGCAGTACCCGCGCTAAAAAAAAAAAGCTACGCGCGCGCGCAACCGAGGCGCGCGCGGTCAGGAGACTAGGCTTACAGGCAGTCAAGCCAGTTGGTAATAAGGTGACGGGTGGACCCTTAATCTTAGGTCCTAAGAACCTGCTCCAGATGCCATGTTAAGATACCTAGGCAATTATGATTGTATTAGGTCAAGATGGGTACAAGACTAGAAAGTCGAGGGAAATTTTGTACCCCCTAAAACTAGCCCCTATACAGCCTAACTAAACATTAAGCATATAGTTTGACAAAGGTGTACATCCCCTTATTGCAGCGAGAAATCCAAGCTGTGCGGCGCGGGAACCCGTTTCAATCCTGTTCCCGCTCTTTTCACTTCAAGTGTTTCTGCCTGCATTGGTCTTGGTCAGACGGTTGCTGTGTCGCTTTGATTCTTCTGACTCTTTGACTTCGTTCTCGGTAGAGTCGGCTCCTGCAGCATACAGGAATGCCTTCTCACAAAACTTCGTATCGTAACAGAGGTTTTGACGTGAGATAATGAAGTGACAACTAGCACTGTTATAAATTACTTGAATCCGATTTCATGTATGTTAATGATTCTTCTCTTGTATATTAGTCGCTATGGAATGTTAATATGAGAGATTTGACATTGCTGGGGTTAAGATGAGAGACTTGACATTGCTGGGGTCTCATATATTAAAGCATTGAGCAGCAATGAGATGGACTGGCTTGAACACGTTTCCCCTTTCTGTGTCGTCTTCAAACGAGCATAATTTATGTGGCTTTCGGAGTGCCGCATGGAAAGTCGGTGACAGATGGTTCGTCCTCATATTTCCTTTGATCCGCGTGGAGCCTTGCAGGGAGTCCAGTCCAGTTCACGAGGACGAAAGGAAAGGGTACAACAACACAACGGATGCAGTACACTCCTGTACACGTCGTCTTTCGTCGTACAATAATGTCTCGTGCAGCCCAGTCCGAATCCCCTTTCCACCGACACACACAAGTTCCTGGCAGAAATCGAGCCGCTCTTGGATCTGCTTGTGTAAAATTATTTGTTTGTTTTTGTCCTGCAATAGTTACGTTGTCGTTCTGACCCATCGCCGATAGGTTCGTGTGGTCGCTTCACATCTCCGTCTGGAAACCTGAAACGACTCTCTGTTGAACAATTGGGAAAATGATTCGCCAATATCCTCGCGAAGGAAAGGAATATCGTTGAAAACACCAGAGCTTTCCACACATTGTCGTTCGCCCCGTTTGTTGCGTTACGGGCGACCCTTTCTGATGTTTCGCAGACCATAGGAGTCGCGTGTGGATCTCACTGTCGCCCCGCCGAATCGCATCGCTTCATTTCGTGCTGTCAGGAGGAGTCAGCAACAAGGAGTCGCCTGTCTATCAGGCACCTAGGGGTCGCAGCAGTTTCTGCGTCGCAAGCAATATCGCCTGTCACAAATGCAAGCTTTCACTGCACAGTTTTCCCCTGCCCTTCCACTCCACACCCTCGAGGTCACCGAACCAGCACTCCACTTCTCGAGGTTACCTCACCTCGACGTCTAGCTTTCCGCCTGGGTTCGGCTGGATTGAAGTGTGGAACTTCTGCCAACAGCTTTGAGGTCTGTTGCTTCGCGCTGGACCACCACACACACATCCCCAGTTGTACCACAGAACCGAAAATGCTGTTTTATTGTCATGTTTGCACGCTACAATCCTGCCACATCCCCGAGACCAAACTAGGGCCGCGGAAGATTTTCTCCACCAGTAGCCTCGTCCAAAATCAGGTTGAAAAGAAATACTTACTCAAGATTCCGAAGCAGCTTTTACTGTAACTAGACATACATTCTGAGAATAAGGTCTGAAGAGAGAAAAGGTTTGGGGTGGCGTCATCACAGTCCAGTCATCGTCAATCTTCAAAACCTTGGCGGTGGCCGGTCGAGGTAAGGCGAGGCGCCTTTCGGTGGTTTGCGTCGACTGCACCAAGCATTCGTTCTGGGTGTTCGGTTTGAATCCCACAACAACCCCCCAGATACCTCACCTTCTCCCGACCTTCGGACCTCCCGACCTCCCCCCGACCACTCCCCGACCTCCCCCGACCTTCCCCCGACCGCTCCCCGACCTCCCACGCGACATCAGAGAAAGGCGTCAGTCGCGCTATCCACCTGTCAGCACAATCCGCAACGCACCACGCATCTTTGTTTGCCCCCCATTCCCCTTCCCAACCTCCCACTCCCCCACCTTCACTTTCCGCGTTTATGTCGGCTCATTGTTTTCCTGCCGAGGGCAGACGAGAAAATTTATGTTTGTTTGAATTGAACCCATCCGTTGGACACCTCACCTCACTTTCCCCTCAAGCACACACGATACATTCGGGGGAGGCGTTTCTATCCATTCCCACTTCTCCAAGATTGAGCGCGTGACGTATAGATATTGTCTTACGATTGTTAGGAGCAGTATTGGAGCTGAGGCGACTGTTTTCAAGTAGCTAACAGACGATTGAGAACCAGCAGCTGTCAGCCTCACTGGGAACGTCAACGAAGGTAGAAGTGCTGGAGACGGGAGCTTCTATTTCATTAGTAGATTCTTGCTGCCAGACATGCAGCCATTGTCGACCAAACTAACTGTTCTTAATCAGGCGGGTCTGTGTATTCACTGGATTCCAGTCAGACGCGCCTCACATGGTTAGAACTCGACATTCCTCCGCGAATTCGAACACCCTTGATTAGACCGTTCGGTCTAGCAGCTAGGAGGAGTCTACGCTTTGACTCGGCCTTTCCAAAAGCAGCGTCGCATCACCAACAGTAGCAGCAACACCAGTCACCAGCCTCAACAGCTTTACTAGCAGCTGCAGCTGCACAAGCACCAGCAGGAGCACCAGCAGGAGCACCAGCAGGAGCACCAGCAGGAGCACCAGCAGGAGCCGCACAAGCAGCTCTCATACCCTCTAGACCCGCGTGCTCATCATGTTGCGGATATGGCGGGTGATGTTCGAGTGGTGGCAGTGGCAATTCTCGCGCCTCGGATGGCTCGTGGGTCGCCGACCACTCGCCAGCATCTTCGTCGCGTGCATTGTCATCATCCTCTGCTCGCTCGGCCTTCTACGAGCCAGCTTCATTGAAAACATCGACGCGCTCTGGGTAAGTTAAGGCACGTTTCTCGACGCGCCCTGGGTAAGTTATGGCGTATCTCGACGCATTCTGGGTAAGCCTTTCTAACTCCCAATTTAAATAATCAATCCCCACAAAAGTAATCCACATCGACTCGCACCGGCAAGCTTGTGAGACGTCTCAACTGGAGCTCTTAGTAGGACTTTTAGGCAACCCCCGGTAACGATCACTCGCTTTAGTCCCTTACTTTGAAGGACACTACGCGTCTGAACTCGCGTCTCGGTCTCTGTCTCCGTTTCTGTCGCGTCGCCGTCGCCGTTAACGTTTATTCCCGCGACTCTGACGTGGCCAGTACGACCGTTGGCCCGTTTAAGGAGCTACGCACCCCCTGTCGCGAGCTAAACTCATGATGACTCGATTTAGAGACTAGCCGACGCCGTTGGGTTCGCCGTCGAAAACGCTGACCACACACACATGCGCACACACGGACAGACACACTCACAATCTCGCGACTCGCTGTGTTTCATCTCGTCTCCCCTCCCCCCTGTCCCTCCTCCTTCATCATCCCCAATCCCTCGTCCGTCTCCCCCGCGCTCCGGCTTCCCCGCGTACGACAAACGCAGGTGCCGAGCACGTCGAAGACGATCGTGGACCAGCGCAAGTTGGACGAGTACTTCCCCACCGTCCCCCCATCTCGTATCCCTCTACCCCGCATGCCACCTGACTTCCCAACCTCCCTCCCCCCCATCCCCATCCCCATCCCCTTCCCCTTCCCCTTCCCCTCCCCCGCGCGCGCAGGTGCCGAGCACGTCGAAGACGATTGTGGACCAGCGCAAGTTCGACGAGTACTTCACAACCTTTCCCCCACCCCTCCCACCTCCATCGCTCCTCATCCGTTATCCGTCTCCCCGCACCCCGTCTCCCCGCAGGTGCCGAGCACGTCGAAGACGATCGTGGACCAGCGCAAGTTCGACGCGTACTTCCCCACGAACCCCTTTTCGCGCGTGGAGCGCGTGATCATCGTGCCCAAGGACCCTTCCGCCGACATGCTGCAGCCGCACCTGCTCAACCAGGTGCGCGCGGGGAGGGCAAGGGGGCCGGGAGGAGGGTAGGGAGGGCTGGGAAGGGAAGGACGCAGACCATGTCTCACTCACACACTCACTCACACACTCACTCACACACTCACTCACACACTCACTCACTCACTCACACTCTCACATCCTCACTCACACACTCACTCACATCCTCACTCACACACTCACTCACATCCTCACTCACACACACACACTCATCGCGCTGTGGCTTACTCATACCTCGCCTCACCCACACACATCCTGAAGACGCCTCTAAACGAAGTTTGCAATCAACTCACCTTTTCTCACCAACCCCACCCCCACGTTTCCCTTCCACCGACTTCTGCTCCCTCCGTTGTCCCTCCCCGCTGCTCACTTATCTCCCTTGCTCTTCTTCGCATCCCCACAAGCCCCCTTTCTCTTTCCTCTCGACTCACTCTCGCTCCTAACTCCTTCCCCCCGTTCCACCATCGAGCGTAATAACATCTACAAGCCTCTACTGAACCTGATGCTGCAAACTGAATCTGATTCAACAAAGAAATCATTCACGGTGCAAACTGAGTTTCAGCAAACAAAGAAAGCTTTCTTGAGGCCCCTGATCCCCCCCTCCCATCCTCCCTCACTCCTTCCCTCTCCCCCCTCCCACCCCTCGCCCCCTTCCCATCTCTCCTTCTCCCGTTCACATCCCTCCCCTCTCTCGTTCACATCCCTCCCCTCTCTCGTTCACATCCCTTCCCCCCCCCCCCATCAGACGTACAACATCTACATATCACTGCTGAACTTAACAGTGACAGCTAACGGCAACAGCAGCGCGGGCATCAAGCACATGTGTGCGCAGCCCGTGAAGAACCGATTCTCGAGTCGACTCAAGAACCCCTCCCATCTCTTTCCCCCTCCCTCCCATCAGACGTACAACATCTACATGTCGCTGCTGAACCTGGCAGTGACAGCCAACTGACCATGACCCGACACAAACACCTCTCCCCGCCTTCCCCCTCCTCTCCCTCTACCCCTCCCCTCCCATCAGACGTACAACATCTACATGTCGTTGCTGAACCTGACAGTGACAGCTAACGACAACAGCACGGTGGGCATCAAGCACATGTGTGCACAGCCAGTGAAGAACGGGGGGTGTGTGTACTACAGCCCGCTCGCCTACTGGAAGGACGACCGCGCGCTCATGCTCTCGCGGACCGATGCGCAGCTGCATGCTGACGTGGACGAGCTGCTGCTGTCGGGTGAGTGCTGAGGGGGTGCGTGCGTGAATGAGTGAGTGAGTGAGTGAGTGAGTGCATGGGTGGGAGAGTGAGTTGGTGAGAACGGTGCTGATGCTGGTGCTTGCTGCTCGGGGTGCTTTCTCCTGCATGCTGCTCTCCCCTGCTTCTCCTCCTGCTGCTCCCCCTGCCCCTCCGCGCCGCTGCTCCCTCCTGCTTCTCCTCCCTGCTACGCTCTGCTTCCTCTGCGTGCTGCTCTCTGCTGTCGCCATTGCTGCTGCACCCCCCGTCTTTCTTGCCTTCTGGAGGTTCGATCCCTGTGCAGCTGTGGCAGGCAGGTGCCTGGGCTGCCTGGTGTTGTGCCTGGTGAGACGTTTGATCAGACCTGGTGAGACTCTATAGTCGTCTCAATAGTCAGCAGCACTTCCCTCCTTTTGAGGCGCCTCAAAAGTCGTCTCTCTACCCGCAATCTGGTGAAGACTTTTGAGCGGACTCAAAAGTCAGCTTCTCCCTCCTTCCCTCCTTCCCTCCTCGCTTTATCCGCAGGTCTGATCCCGGTGCAGCAGCGGCAGGTGCTGGGTTGCCTGGTAAAGACGCCATCCAAAGTGTACGAGGGCAACTATGACGTCAAGTCCGTGGGAGCCCTCATCTTCACATGTACGTCCTGCGCACCCTCTCTGCTCCTGTCTCCGTTTTGAGACCTCAATAGACGCCATCCCGCGTGCATGAAGGCAACTATGACGTCCAGTCCGTGGGAGCCCTCATCTTCACATGTACGTCCTGCGCACCCTCTCTGCTCCTGTCTCCGTTTTGAGACCTCAATAGACGCCATCCCGCGTGCATGAAGGCAACTATGACGTCCAGTCCGTGGGAGCCCTCATCTTCACATGTACGTCCTGCGCACCCTCTGTGCTCCTGTCTGCCCCCACCTCTTCCTACCTCCCCCTGCATCCCCCTTGCCTCATCGTACCTCACCTGGTCTTGGCTGCACTCGTGTGGTGCTACCATGCTTGCTAGCTAGCTAGCACCAGCACTTAACGGGCTTGCTGCCACGTCTTCTCGGACTTTCCAGGGCAAATGCCTCGTTCACTGGCACCACACCACAGCGGCACAATGAATGAAATAAGGGCATAAGCCGATAGAAAGCTGAACCGAGCAAACAAACCTGAAAGAAGAACGCAGGAAAATCCTAACTCTTGCGTACTCCCCCACCCAACACCCTCGGATCTGCCTTGGCACTAAAATGTTCTGCCCCGGTACTTTCTTCCCCCTTCCCTCTCCCTCCTCTCCTTTCCTCTCATTTCCTTTCCTCTCCTCTCCTCTCCTCTCCCCTCCCCTCCCCTCCTATCCCCTCCTTGTCCCTCCTCCCCCGCCCCTCCCCTCCTCTCCCCTCTCTCCAGTCTTCCTGGACGTGTCTCTTAAGGGCACGCCCACAGTGGAGCGATGGGAGACAGCACTCTTGGATATGCTCGACACGTACCCCTACGAGGTGAGTCGAGCTGCTCGATACTGGTTGTGAGTCGTCGGCTTACAACTCGTCTCAGTTGTGCGATGGAAAACCGACATGTAAACCGCGCACTCCTAGATGATCTGCTTGACACGTTTGAGTCGAGTCAAAAGTCAGCTCATGGAAAACCGACATGTAAACCGAGCACTCCTAGATGATCTGCTCGACACGTTTGAGTCGAGTCAAAAGTCAGCTCATTGAAAACGACATGTAAACCGAGCACTCCTAGATGATCTGCTCGACACGTACCCTTGAGGGATGAGCCGGCCTTGATACCGGGACTGGACTTCACTCCATTTCTTTTTTTTGAGAGTTCTCAAGCATCGCTCGCTCACAAGAGTTCTGAGTCTGCTCCCTCCCTCCCATTCCTCTCTTCTCTCTCCCGTCCCTCCCTTCCCTCCTTTCCCTCCCGTTCCCTATCCCCCTTTCCTTTTCCCTCCCTTCCCCCTTTTCCCTCTTTTCCCTCGCTTCCCTACCTTCCCTCCCTTCCCTCCGTTAACCTCTCCGCTTCTTTTCTCCACCTCCCCGCTCCCACTCCCCCCCACCTCCCTCCTCCCCCCTCCCTAATCCATCAGGACGTGGTGGCATACGCAGCAACGGGAGTCTCAACCTCGCAAGAAATCTCCCGGCAGTCGAGGGGGACGTGTTCCTCCTGGGGGCGAGCTACATCATCATGACGCTCTACATGCTCGTCGCCCTCACCACCTTCAAGCCCTTCCCTTCCCTCCCTTAGCTCTACTCCCTTCGCCCCTCCCGCCCCTTCCACCCTTCTCGCCTCTCCCTCCCCCTCCTGCCCCGCCCCACGCCCCCTGCCCCACCCACACCCCCCTTCCCCCCCACTTCCCCCTCATCAGGACGTGGTGGCATATGCGGCAACGGGAGTCTCAACCTCGCAGGAGATCTCGCGGCAGTCGAGGGGGGACGTGTTTCTGCTGGGAGCGAGCTACATCATCATGACGCTCTACATGCTCGTCGCCCTCACCACCTTCAAGCCCTTCCGCACTCGCTTCCTGCTCGGCCTGGGCGCGCTGGCTACGGTGGCTTCGGGGATTCTCTCCTCGCTCGGCTTCAGCGCTCTCTTTTATCAGTTCAATCCGCTCACCATCCAGGTGCGTGTGTGCGTGCGTGGGTGGGGGCCCAGGCAAGTGGGCTAACCGTGGGGACGGGTGGGTGGATGGCTCTTGAGGCGCCTCAAGCTTCCTGCTAGTCCTGGGCGCGCTCGCTTTGCTTCGCTACTGTGTCCTCCTCGGGTCGGGTAACTTTTGAGTCAACTCAAAAGTCACCTAGGATGGCTCTTGAGGCGCCTCAAGCTTCCTGCTAGTCTTGGGCGCGCTCGCTTCGCCTCGCTACTGTGTCCTCCTCGGGGGGTCGGGTATTCTCTCCTCGGCCGGTTTCAGCGCGCTGTTCTATCGGGACAATCCACTCACCACCCAGGTGAGTGCGTGCGGGGACAGGTGGGTTGGTGGGTGGGGATAAGCGGGTGATCTACCGTCCAGGTGGGTTATGACATGTCATTTGCGATGCTATCAATCGGCATGGACGGTGTGTTCATCCTCTACACGCACCAGTCTCTCCCCCCCCCATCATCATCATCATCATCATCACACCACCATCAACCCCCCACACCCCCCCCCAATCCTCTCCGCCCATCCCACCCATCTCCCTCCTCCCGCCTCCTCGCCTCCTCGCCTCCTCCCCAGGTGCTGCCATTCGTGATGCTGTCAATCGGCATGGACAGTGTGTTCATCCTCTACACGCACTTCCAGAAGTCCCTCACCTCCATTACTCACACGCCCCTCTCCAACCTCGACATCGCCATGGCGCTCGAGGTGAGCTCACAAGAGCTCACAAGAGAGCACAGCACAACTGAGGCACCTCAGATGTCGTTTTCTTTGGTGCCCCAGAAAGTGGATTTCTGGGCGTGTCAGAATCAGAAGTCCCTCACCTCTGTCCGTCCCCCACATCTCACCCCTCTCCAACCTTGAGACACTGAGACATTGCCATGGCTCTCGAGGTGAGACAGTCTTCTGACTCTGACACTCACTGACACCACAATGGCTTATTCTGCTGGGACCAACAGCGTGTTCTCACACTTTGTTTTCTTGAGGCTCCACAATATTCGCCCTCACCTCCATTCCCCACGCGCCCCTCTCCAACCTTGAGACGTTGCCATGACACTCGAAGTGCAGCAGTCTCACGCGCTCACTGAGGGCACAACAGCGTATGTTCAGACGCCTGAAAAATTGTTCTCTTGGGCGCCTTAGAAGTGCTATCCCACCCACCATTCCTACCCTTTCGTCCCCTCTCCGCCCCCCACAAAACGCGCTGTACCGGCAGGGGAAGAGCCTGGCGCTGACAGCGCTAATCCAGGCCATCCCACTTCCCTCTGCCTCTCACGCCCACTCCTCCCTTTTCCTCCCCTCTCCTCCCTCCACCCCTTCCTTCCCTTGCTCCCCCCCCCCCCCCCCCCCCACAGGACGCACTGTACCGGCAGGGCGCGAGCGTGGCGCTGACGGCGCTGACCAAGGCGGTCTCGTTCCTGTGCCCGTGCATCGTGCTGCGCATCCCAGCGCTGCAGGAGTTCTGCATCGTGGTCGCCATCGCCGTGCTCTTTGAGCTCCTCTTCTCCTTCACCGCGTTCAACGCCTTCCTGGTGAGAGAGAGAGAGAGAGAGAGAGAGAGAGAGAGAGAGAGAGAGAGAGAGAGAGAGAGAGAGAGAGAGAGAGAGAGAGAGAGAGAGAGAGAGAGAGAGAGAGAGAGAGAGCGCCGGCTGTGGAGTCAAGTAAATAACGGTTTGTTCAGGAGGTGCTCCTCCGGAACCTTCCTCACCTCGGGCACCTCGACCAATGCAAGGCAGTGGCGCTTCACCTTCTCCTTCTGTGGTGACTTTTCAGTCGACTCAAACGTTTCCTCGAGAACCCTCCTCACCTCGTGCACCTGAACCAATGCAGGGCAGCAGCGCTTCACCTTCTCCTTTGTCCCGCTCTTCCTCCCACTATCAGCTCCTGCGCGCGTACAGGGCGAGGGGAACCTTATTGAATGAACTGCGTCCCCTGCCTTTTTTTTAAGCGCCATACTTTATTGACCGCCATACGATTGTATTTTCCTTATTTCAACGCCTTTCCCTTCCCCCCCACCGTATCAGATCCTGGACGCGCGCAGGGAGAGGGACAACCGATACGACTGCATCCCGTGCCTTTCACGCAATGGCCGGCGCACCAAGCCACAGCCAAGCCAGCAGGAGCTGCTCCGAAACACGTCCGCTGCCAATCCCTTTCCTCATTCCGCCTCTGCTGTTGATTCTGCTGCTGCCGCTGCTACTGCTGCTGCTGTTGCTGCCGCCGCCGCCGCTGCCGCTGCTAATGGTGGTGGTGATTGCGCCACTGATGGTGCTGCTGCTGCTGCTAATGGTGCTGTCAATGGTGGTGCTAACGGTGCAGCTTGGGTTCCTCTAAGCCAAAGCAGAAGCCCTCCTGCCACTGATGTGACTGTAGAGGGAGCAGGAGACGACAAGGAAGCCATCAAAGCTGCGCATATAATCACAGCACCTCCCGCTATGGCATCCGAACCGACTGATCCGGCCGCCACAGCCACCGCTGCTGCTGGTAACAATACCGGTGCTGTCGCTGCCGCCGCGAACGGAACGGGCTACGGCGCAAAGCCATCGAAAGAGGAGAAGCAGCAGCGCAAGGCGGAGAAGCGGTCCAAGGTGAAGCGTGAGGGCGGACTGATTGACATATCAGGCAGCACTGATAAGGAGGCAAAGACGTTTTACGGGCGGTTCATCTGCCTGTACTTTGTGCCGTATGCGCTTTGCCACTGGGCGGGGCAGCTGGTGATCTTCCTGGTGTTTGGCGCGTTGCTGGGCGTGGGCATCTACGGGTGCATCACAGTGGATGAGACGCTGGACGTGCGCACGCTCATCACGCAGGGCACGCAGCTGTACCACTACCTCGGATACGAGGAATCGTGAGTGGTGACATGGGGTGGGGTTGGTGTGGGATGGGACGGGATGGGTTGGGATTGGGATGGGATTGGGATGGGATGGGATGGGATGGGATGGGATGGGATGGGATGGGATGGGATGGGATGGGATGGGATGGGATGGGATAAGATGGGATGGGATGGGAGGCCTTGTGTGTCTGCTGCCTCCTGCTGCATGCTGCCAAAGAGTCCCTCCTTTTCTTTCTTGCTGCACGCGCAAGTACCCACTCATTCATACCCCTAGTTCTCCCTGTCTGTGACCAATTCCGGCCCTTGCCAACCATTCAAATTCAACCCATGCGTTCTTCTCGCTTGCCCTCCGGTCCACCCCCCACTTGCTGCAGGGTGTTTTTGAGAACTCTTAAAAAACACCCTTCTCGCATGCCCTCCGTCCACCTCCGTCCAGCCCCCACTCTCATTCTCAAGAACACCCTTCTCGCATGCCCTCCGTCCACCCCCCACTTCCTCCTGCCATCCATTCTCCCAAGTGCAACACGCCCATGCACATCGGCCGGTCTATTTACCTGGTGGCAGGAAACTTTGACTACACACACCCACCCATGCACCTCTCCCTCTCTCTCTCTCTCTCTCTCTCTCTCTCTCTCTCTCTCTCTCTCTCTCTCTCTCTCTCTCTCTCTCTCTCTCTCTCTCTCCATGCACCCATGCCCCGCTCATCTCCCCCTTTTTCTCTCCCAGGTGCAACACGCACATCGGCCCGCCCATGTATCTGGTCACAGAGAACATTGACTATGCTTCGCTGCAGAATAGGGTACGTGCGGTGTGGGGCAGTGCGGTGTGGGGCAGTGTGGTGTGGGGCAGTGCGGTGTGGGGCAGTGCGGTGTGGGACAGGACAGTGTGGGGCAGTGTGGTGTGGTGTATGGGGGAGTGTGTGTTGGGCAGGTATTGGATTGTATGGTGGTGTGTTTGCAGGAAGCATGGAAGTGTGAGTGCTTTTGAGGCGCCTCAAATGCAGGAGGCATGGCGGTGTGAGTGCATGGAGGGCATTGGGTTGCTTCTGTGTATCTCTCTCTCCTCTCTGCTTTCTTGTGACTTTTGAGCCGACTCAAAACGAGGTGATTTTTTAGTCGACTCAAAAGTCAAAGTCTTGTGTCTATCTCTCTCTCCTCTCTTGCCCCCTTGAAGCTCCTCTCCCCTCCCCCTCACCTTCCCCCCTCGCCCTCTCCCCTGCACAACCATACATGGAGCATCGGACAGGTCTGATGCAGAATTCCACATGGATAGAGATCAAATGCCATACCCACCTCCTTCTGCCCTCTCACCCTGCGCTGCCCCCCCGGCTGTCCCCCTACTCCCCCCCTCGCCCGCCCCCCTACTCCCCCCCTCGCCTGCCCCCCTACTCCCCCCCTCGCCCGCCCCCCCCCAGCCGTACATGGAGCGCCTGACAGGTCTGGTGCAGAACTAGCCTGCCTTCTAATCTCCCCACTACCACTCTCCCGGTCCAACCGCTCCCTCTCCCCCTGCCCCCCCCCGCCCCCCCCCAGCCGTACATGGAGCGCCTGACAGGTCTGGTGCAGAACTCCACGTGGATAGAGCCGCCCGTGTTCTCCTGGTACCGCGACTTCACAGAGAAGTGAGTGCCTTCTCCCACCGGGCATGGGGGAGGGAAGGGAAATGGTGGCGTTTGTGTGTGTGTGTGTGTGTGTGTGTGTGTGAGTGGTCTGAGTCGTCTCAAAGCCCGCCCGTGTTCTCCTGGTTTCGCGACTTCACCGAGAAGTGAGTCGAATGGGCGAGGGGGAAGGGGGAGGAAGGGCAGGAGGGGAGCTGTGCGTGTGTGGGTGGTCTGAGTCGTCTCAAATACCGCCCGTGTTCTCCTGGTTCCGCGACTTCAGCGAGAAGTGAGTGCACGAGTACCCACCGGGCCCTGGGGGGGCCAAGGAAAATGGTGGCACTGTGTGTGAGTGGTTTTCACCGTCTCAAATACCGCCCGTGTTCTCCTGGTTCCGCGACTTCACCGAGAAGTGAGTGCCTTCTCCCACCGGGCGCGGTGGAGGGAAGGGAAATGGTGGCGATGTGTGTGTGTGTGTGAGTGAACTCCAACGGCCAACTACCCTCAAGGGAGCTGTTCCACGGGCGCTGGACAATTTCCTCAACGTCAGAATGGAGGGCTTTGCCTACACCTACAACTTTCAAGGTGTCGATTCCTAAGAGTTGCTGCCACGTATTAAAACCATGGCACCTACATGGTGCTCTATTGGACTCAACGTCAGAATAGAGGGCTTTGCCTACATCTACAACATTGCATTGTGGTTGTTGGGCCGTCACCCCTTCCCCAGCCTCACTCGCCCCCTCCACTGACTCTCCTCCCCCGCTGCATCTCCCACTCCTGCCTCCTCCCCTCCTCCGCGCCTTTCCCCGCCCACCCGCCATGGGTCCAGGTTCCTGCCATACAGCAAGTGGGTGACGCAGCTGGACAGCAACGGCCAACTACCCTCAAGGGAGCTGTTTCACGCGGCGCTGGACAACTTCCTCAACGACAGCATGGAGGGCTTTGCCTACACCTACGACTTTGCGTTTGAGCGCAACAACGGCACGGGCGCGATTGAGGCGATCAAGGCGGCGCGCATGCGCGCGTTCTACAACCCGCTCAAGGGCACGGGCGAGTTTGTGAACGCCATGCTGGACGTGCGCGGGAGGGTTGATTCGGTTCCGCAGGTGGGTGGCTGGCTGTGGGCTGGGGAACGGGCACGAGCGGATGGCACATGCGCGCACGTTCTACAACCCGCTCAAGGGCGCGGGCGAGTTTGTGAACGCCATGCTGGACGTGCGCGGGAGGGTTGATTCGGTTCCGCAGGTGGGTGGGTGGCTGTGGGCTGGGGAACGGGCACGAGCGGATGGCACATGCGTGCACTTTCTACAACCCGCTCAAGGGCACGGGCGAGTTTATGAACGCCATGCTGGACGTGTGCGCCCGGGTGGACTCCGTGCCGCAGGTGAGTGCTAGAAAGTCGAGGCGGGTGTGGTGTGGTGTGGCCTGTGCTGCCGGTGTGTGTGTTCGGGGGTGGGTAGGTGAGTGGTGGTTGGTCGGTCAATGCCCCTCTCTTCCTCCCCCCTTCACCCCACTTTCACCCTAAAACCTGCCCCACCAGGTACCCCCGCCTTCACGCAGAGCTACTTCTACGTGTTCTGCGAGCAGTTTCCCGGATCCTCGTGTGGATGATGCTGCTGTCTTCCCGTACCCACCCACCCAACCACCCAACCACCCACCCAACCACCCACCCTACCACCCATTACAGTCTTGCTTGCTGCCCAGTGCATTCTTCCAAGCTCCCTGACACAATGCCCCCCTCTCCCCACTCTCTCTCCTGTAATTTCCCTGCACCACACCTGCTGCTGCCGCTAATCCTGCCCTTCAGGTGCCGGCATTCACGCAGAGCTACTTCTACGTGTTCTACGAGCAGTTCCTGGACATCGTGCAGCAGTACACCTGGATGCTCGTGCTCACCATCATCGGCATCTTCTGCATCACTTTCATCTTCATGGGCTTTAAGACCGCCATCATTGTTTCGGCCATGGTGCTCATGATCCACATCTCCATGCTCGTGAGTGCGGTGCAAACACGGTCCTTTGCTGGGTGGATCTGTGTGGTGCAGTGTGGTGTGGTGCGGTGTGGTTTGGTGTGGTTCGGTGGTGTGGTGAGGTGTGGCGTAGGCTGCTGTGGGATGCTGTGGTCGCTCTTGCAGTTGCTGTTGCAGTTGCTGTTGCTGTTGCAGTTGCTGTTGCGGTTGCAGTTGCGGTTGCAGTTGCGGTTGCTGTTGCGGTTGCAGTTGCGGTTGCTGTTGCGGTTGCAGTTGCTGTTGCGGTTGCAGTTGCGGTTGCTGTTGCGGTTGCTGTTGCGGTTGCTGTTGCGGTTGCTGTTGCGGTTGCTGTTGCGGTTGATAGAGGGGCTAGCTGGTCATCCATCCCCTCCTCTCTCATCCCGTTCTCCCCTTCCTCTCGTCCCCCTCCCGCCCCCCCTCCCTCTCCCATCCCCCTCCCTCCTACCCACCAGGGCCTGACGGCAGAGTGGGGGGTGCAGCTGAATGCGGTGTCTGCAGTGAATGCAGTGGCAATCATGGGGCTGGCGGACGAATACGTGAACTACATCATGCGCGCATTCGAGCTCGACCACGGCAACCCACAGGTCAGTCATTCAGACATACGTACTCACACTCACCCGCACGCAGAGGTGCTTTTGAGTCGACTCAAAAGTGCCATCATGGGGCTGGCAGATGAGTACGTGAATCACATCATGCGCGCCAGTGAGCTCGACCAGGGCAGCCCACAGGTCAGCCATTCTCAGCCAACTTTTGAGGGGCCCCATTGCTGCCTTAAGAGTAGCAGTGGCCTTCCTGGAGCTGCAGCCGCAGAGCCACAGCCGGACTTCCGGACTTACAAAACACATCATGTGGCTCACTGGTGAATTACAAAATGCACGCCAGTGAGCTTGACTATGGCACTCCCTCACGGTCGCGCACATGTGCGCGCGCGCCCACACACACACACAATGCGTGCACACACACACTCACACTCACACTCACACCCACACTCTCACTTTGACACATGCACTATCCCCCCACTCACACACACCAACATACGCACAACCACACACGCACAACCACACAGAGCCTCCTGCCTGCACAACTCACACACCCCTCGCCCCTTGTTTTTCTCCCCCCCTTGTTCTGCTCCGCCCTGTTCCAAACCATCCAGCATCTGTTCACGAACGCCGTCTGCTGATGCGTCTCCCTCCTACCTTCCTCCTACCAACTTCCTTCTCCCTCCCAACTTCCCCCTTCCCAAACGCCCCCACTCCCTTCCCTGCCCCTTCCTTGGTACAGGACCGGATCCGCTCAGCCCTGCTGCAGTACATCCGCCCCATCACCAACGCTGCCTGCTGATGCTTCTTCCTGCCGCCTTTCCCCTACCAACCCCCTTCTTCCCCCCCTCCCCACTTCCCGCCCCCTTCCTTGGTACAGGACCGGATCCGCTCAGCCCTGCTGCAGTACATCCGCCCCATCACCAACGCTGCCTGCTGATGCTTCTTCCTGCCGCCTTTCCCCTACCAACCCCCTTCTTCCCCCCCTCCCCACTTCCCGCCCCCTTCCTTGGTACAGGACCGGATCCGCTCAGCCCTGCTGCAGTACATCCGCCCCATCACCAACGCTGCCTGCTGCACAGTCCTCGGCATCCTCCCGCTCGCCTTTGCCAAGTCTGCTGTCTACAACGTCTACTACTTTCGCATGTTTCTTGTTGCCACACTCCTGTCCTGGGGCACGGGGATTATTTTCCTGCCCGCGTTCCTGCTTGCGCTGCATGGCGTGGGCATGACGAAGCCGCTGTATGTGTTGGGGCTTGCGGCAAAGGAGAAGTTTCTGCGGTGGAGAGGCAAGAAGCAGCAGCATGAGCATAATTCGGATGATGGGGGAGAGGAAGGGAAGAAAGAGCCAGGGGAGAGTGAGGTAGCAGTACCTGGAGAGGTCCGGGTTTAGGGGATGTTTGTTGAGAAACTGAGTGAATTTTAATACACCATCATGTGTTCTTATTTCTAATACTCCGTCAGAACTTGCATGCGTGCAAGATAGCTTGCAGATGGCATGCTCTTGACTCACCCTCGTTCGTTGACATTTTCCATTCTGCTGACGTAAATACTATCTGTTCGTTTATTCCCTTTATGTGATGCTGCTTCTTTATGTATTATTTATTTAGGGCATCTTTGTGGAAGATGAAAGTTGTTTGCAGAGGATGCTAACGTGGAGGGATGTTTTGTTCAGAATAATATTTGTGTTTGCTCAAACTGCAATCAGTGTTTCGCTCTAACGAGCTAACTTGCTCGCTGAAATCGCGTGAAATGACGTGGCCTCTCCTGGTTTGGGAAGAGTGGATGAGGAAGGAAGTCAGCTTTTGGCATGACTCGGTGGGAGCCTTGAAATGAGTTGTCCCTTGGGGTGCTGCTAGCACTACTGTACACCCTGTTTCTCGACCCTCTCACCTTGCGCGATTCGCTGCTACAGTGCGGTCAGGTGCCATAAACCGTATGGTTGAAACCTGCGGGCAAAGCCGCACCAGCTGACGGAGTGGTACCGGGGGCAAAATTTTTCTTTATCGCTGTATACCCTTTTCAACCGCTTTGAAACGCTTGGTTAATGTTCTTTACCATGCAGCATCCTAGCTAACCGCTTTCTTGTGAATGTGCTTGTACCGTCGGTGATAAGACCATTTCAAACGTGGTGACGTTCTACAACCTGTGCATGTTCTGCAACCAGATGCTCTGCTAGCGCAAAACAGGGTGTATTTGCATTGCATTGCCTGCACCATTTCAGTGACATTCAGCACAACCGCCGCGCGTGGTAAGCTTTCCCGCCAAAATCTTCCACAAGCAGAGCCGAAATTCTGCTTCCTCACCTCCGCTTCCCTATTGGTCGCGCTGGGCACCCATTCGCTTCTGCCTGCATTTGCTATAATAAGCCTGCATTAAAGCAAAATAAAGGTAATTTTATGCTTTATATTGGTTCTAAATCAGTCTACACTGCGAGTAGGAGAGAGGTTTTGGTTTTGGCGCCAACCACAACTCACCTCCCTACTTGGTCCATGCAGGAGAACGCAGGAACAAGGTTTGCCACAAGTCAAGCACCAAGTAGACTGCAGTAGCGCAGTCACAGCCACTCAGGAGCTGGATCTCCGTGCCAGGCGGCGTATTCGTTTTGACCTCTCGTTCTTAGGCTGACAAATAGCTTCTACCCTCGCCCCCTTCTACTCTCCGTCTTACAGGACTGTCCGCCGTCAGTTGTGCTGTGCCTTTCGCTAGAAAGCTGTTCTCCCTTCGTCATGTCTGCGCATTCGGTCCTCCCTGGCAACAACCATAGCGCCTTTGTGCGGACGCAGTGGGACAATCTAGACTCGTTTCCTCAGAGAAAACCGCAATCAGTTTCTAGTATAGGTACTCGACTTGCTTAAATTTGAATTCCTCGATACTTGTAGATTCTGCTAAACCTGAATTGTTTCTGTTTTCAGTGAGTTTTGCCAGTTCATAAAGACCCAGAAAAAGGCTTTTATCTTGTCCTTTGATCCGTTTGATAAAATTAGGCAAATTACGAGTGATTTCAGAAGTACTCCTGCCCTTCTTCTCACCGATTATCCCGTTTGTTTCCCAAATATTCCGCAGCAGGATCGCGGTCAAAAATGGCGGATCATAGTTTCTCGTTACAAGGAAATTCTTGGCCGGTGAACGCTCCGCGACGAGTAAACCCTCTTGCCTTTCTTCAACCCCCTACGCTTTTCCAATATCGTGTGTAAACAAGAAGAGATTCATTGCATGTGACAAAGCCAGTTAAGATACAGTAGCACGCGAACGCTCTGAAAGCTCGAGATTCGTGAGTCTCAATTGTCATTTTGCTCACGCAGTTCACTGTGTAACTTTTGTACTCCCTGTGTGCGTGGGTGCGTGCGTGCGTGCACGTGTATACCCTGTCACAGGCGAGACACCGGGGTCCCAAGGCCGCCAAAGGACGGGCGAGTGAAGCGGCCTCCTCAGCAGGAGGAAGAACTGTGTTTCATAAAGTCGAATCGTACGCTCCTCCCTCCTTCACGGTGTTAGCTTGCTGCTGCACGTTTCGTAGCTTATGTTCTGAATTCTCTTTTTCTTGTGACGTATCTTATGTTTCCTAACATCCGTAGTAGGTCGATAAGCCCATTATGTTCAGCCGCGAGGTATGCTCCGTTTGCATCAGTTCAGCAAAAAAAAAATCGGGGTTTGCGTTTTGGCGGGTGTTCGCTGCTGTATGCTCGTTATCGTTTTCCGATCCTGCTGCTGTCGGCGTTTCCTCCGGTCGCCTCAGTTTCGAAACAACGCTTTTCTCCTGAATCGTTTATTCTTCAGGGGTGAGACATTGTGGAGCATCGCTAGGATGTACGGCATTCCCGTCCCAGATCTCATGGCGTACAACGGAATTTCGGACGTCAGAGAAGTGTACTCGGAGTCCGTCGTCATCATCCCTCTTCTCTCCCCCGCGTCTCCTCGGACAATCCAAGGAGATCTCAGCCGTTCATCCGCCTCATCTTCTTCTCTTAGATCGGGTACAGACCCAAATGAGGCGAGCGGCGTTGGCCGGGGTAGCAGTGGGCGGACCCAAGTGGCGACTGAGGAGGCGTCAACGGTGCTTAGGGGCTTGGCTTCGCGGGTGCAGAAGACGTCGAACTCGTTTCACTTGACGGACTCGTTAAAGGTGTGTGAATGAGACATAGTTATTTGGGATGTGACTCTGTGGACACTCCCCCCGCGCTTTTTCTGTGTTTCTCTGCCTCATTTCTATCGCACCTTGGCATTTACGCTCTCTTCTCATCACATTCTCGTAGGATTCCTAGTTCGCAATCCATTCACCTGCTTCTTTTCGTCATCGCTTTTCGTGCATGTGCGTTTGTGCCGTTCACCATTTGTTATCCACCTCAGGTACTACTCTTCTGCTACAGTGCGGCTTTGATATCCTTCCTAATAGTAGCGGTCAGAGAGCTTCTGAGAACATTCAAGGAGGCCAGGGACCTTCAATGGGTGCAGGAGCCGGAACCAGAGCGGCCAAATGTGGCTCTCAAAACGCGGACGTCCATGTCCTTGGTCCTGGATCGGTTGAGTAGGTCCCAGGAGTGGTCGCGGGAAGAGATGATGGCAGATGGTGTATCAGCGGTAAGTGTTGCGGCGTTTCTGTACTTATTTTTTTCATCCTACTTTGCCATTTTTTCTCTAAACAAAACCTTTCAGCTGGGTTTTAATGTATGATGTTTACCGTTTGCCGTTTGAATTCTGAATTTTGCCAGGGAGCGGATTCGCAACATTTGGATGCAGCAACAGCAACGGCTCAATTAGACATCGTAAGTTAGCATCTCTGGCATTACGCCATTGAGCAGCAAAAATCGCTGACCTAATGCAATGGACCGCCCCCCTCTCACTTGCAGCCACACCTGTGCTTTCTCGTAACGTATCTGCCTTGTGTCACTCCTATTGCGCTCACTTTGACTCATTTCCTTTCCTGCCCCGGCTTATTCCTTATCGTCCCACTAGGATCAAGCCCCCGAGCCATCTCCGGAGGAGGTGGCTCAAGACTATGAGGAAATTCGCCGACGGTACAGAGAGGGGCTGGAAGCCTCATACAGGACCTTTTTGAAGGACACAGGGTCACAAACAGCAGGGAGGTTCCGAGGTGGCATGCCCTCCAAGTTTAGAAACAAGAAGCCCCCAAGATGATCTTGGTTTTGAGTGTGGTGAATCTGGTGGTGCTGGTGGTGGGGATCAGCGTAAGGCTGAGACTGGATTAGCCATTGCTAATGCTGTTGAGTGATTTGGCTACAATGATACTAACCCATTGCTAACATAGATTCAAGCATTTGTCTTGACATCGACCCTTGTGAACATATCAATATCTGAGAAATAAATGTGAAATTTAGAAATGGGAACAGGGAAAGTCTGCTCAGTAAATTAAACTGTGTTACAAATCAAAATGAATGTTAGTGTACAACTGAGGACCAACCAATCCATATCAATCCCCCTGCGAGATTGGTTGGACCGCGAGAATGGACCTAACGAAGTGGTCATGCTCGTCCTCCCACGTCAAACTACCGTAGGAAAATGTTGGCGATGTTCGCAACACAGTGAAAGTAACCCTGTATGTTACACTCGCCCCTGACGAAATGGTAAAATTCTGAGGGTCCACCACAACCTCCACACCCCTTGGCGAAACCACCTTCGCCACGTACGTAGAATCCTGGTTGAACACATTTGTAACCTTTCGCGTCACGACTGCACTTCCAGAAAGCCAAGCGACGGAAATAGTCGGACGGTTGAGATTTCTCGCAGGAGTTGGGGCGAACGTCTCAGCAGGCCAGAGTGACTTCGCCCGATTCAAATCCTGCCCGGCAAGGAAATTCTGGTAGTCCTTGAAAGCGATGCTGTAGGTGAGCCCGGGATCGACAAGTTTTCGCGGGTTGATGTGACCTGCCCCCATGTCCCAGGGCGTCGCTGATTGGTGCTCGCTGGTTTGAATCGCCTGCCCTTTGTTATCTTTCGTCGTTGCAGTTGTCATCATTGCAGACATCAGCTGCGCGGGGGTCCAATTAGGGTACCGCTGCACAAGCAACGCGGCAATCCCTGCGATGTGCGGTGTAGCCATTGACGTTCCCGAAAGCTGCGCGTACTGCGCATCCCACCGGTTCGCGAGATTGCTGTTGGCTGCGGACCATAGATCCACGCCAGGAGCGACGATGTCTGGTTTTATGATGTCGTTGCTGGGGCGAGGCGACGGTTCCGGGGTGGTAGAAGGGTTGTTGAGCGGACCAGTGGAGGAAAAGGAGGCGATCACAGGGGCTCGACTGGCCGCGACGAATTTCCGAAGCCAAGAGAAGATTCCCTTGGGTTGTGCTCTGACAGGTGGATGGATGGGTTGGGTGTGGTGGGGTAGGGTAGCAGGAATGGATGTTAGAGAAAGGAATTGGAACAAAGCAGGGGCACACCACAGAGAAAAACGAAGGAAATGAACCAGTCCAAGAGAAGTAATACCCCTCCCCACATCCTTCACAGAAAGCGGATATTGAAAACAATAAATAAAACAATCCCCCCTCCCCCCCCCCCCCCCCCCACACACAAACACCCCACACACACAGACCCCACACACAAAGCCCACACTAGGCACTAACAGCAAACTTACTTCTTAGAGCCCGCCATAAACGACCGGAGCTGCACCGTCTCCTTCATGCCGATACGTCTCACAGGCAGACTGCCAATCTTAAAAGACCCGAGGTTCTTTGGCAGACCCAGCGGATCGAGCACTATCATGGCGTACCCGCCCTTCCCTGCCACCTCCCACGCCTTGGCTGTGATGGATGATCCTCCTCGGTTGCAGAGAACCACCTTGCCGGAGATCTTGGAGGGGTCCAGCGAGAGAGGTGCACAGATGCGCGCCTGAAGAGGAGGGGCAAAGGCGGAGTGGGGGGGAGGAGGGGGTGCGGAAAGGGTGAGTGAAGGGAGGAGGAGGGAAACGGCGAGGTGAGTGGGCGGGCGGGGTGGAAAGGAGGAGTAGAGTTGGTGGAGTGGGAGATGGGCGTTGTGCATTTCATTGAGGGGATAATGCAGGTGTGTTTTTCTGTGGTTCTTGGGGATGGAAACAGTTGGGATTGGCAATACAGGCACATAAAAAGAGTTGCACTTCGGGCCGGTTGATTGCACATAATCACGTGGTATCTGTAAGAACTTGGTATTGCCAGTATGCTTACGTTAGCACGCTGTTTGAGAGTCCGTGCGGCCTTCTGTGCCTCGACAAACATGACCTGCAGAGACGTCGTCGACGCATCGACACTCGAGGAATTTGATTCCCCATCCATGCCAACGCCAGTCTCCACCTCTCCTGCTGCTCCACCGAGCACACTACTGCTGCCAGCAGGCGCAGTAGAAGCATTCTCAGCGTCCCCAGCAGCAGCGGCGGCAGCAGTAGAGGATGAGGAGTCGGAATTGTCGAAAGGGTTGGTCATTCCTGGGAGCAGTTTGCGCAGGAGGTTGGACTCTCCACTGCTTTCATATGTGCCCCTGCGTGCGATGGAACTGTGGTGGTGCGCAGTGAGAGGGGACGAGAGAGAGTGGGGGGAGTGGGAGAGGGGGGGGAGTGGGAGAGGGGGGGGGGGGGGGGGGGGGGGGGGAGGGAGGAACAGAGCAGGAAGGGAATGGTTGAGTAAGTGGCCTGTGTGGGTCAAGGTCGAAGAAAATTAACGAAAGCCACTCACACCAGAACATGCGGTTGAGCTACTCATATCAGGGGAGTGACAGGCAAGAACGTTGACAAGAGGCGAGAAAGCTGAGAGGGGCAAGAATTGCAAGAGGGGCGGCAAATAAGGCGGACAAGGCCAAGAGCGGCAAGAAGGTTACCTGCCGCCTACAGTCATGTAGAAAGGCGAGAAGTGCAAGAGGGGCAGGAGGGGCGACAATCCCAAGAGCAGCAGAAAGGTCACCTGGCGCCAACCGTCATGTAGAAAGGCGAGAAGTTATCGATCGTGCGGTAGACCACCCTTGACGGCGGGGGGCCGCTGTTCCCCGCCGCAAACGCCACAAACACGCCGGCCTTGTTCACATTGAGATAATTCACGTGGTCGAAATATGTGGCGTTGGGATCGGCTCCCCCCAGCGAGATAGAAATAACGTCCACTCCGTCGGCGACGGCTTTGTCGACCGCCGCGTTGATGTCAACCATGGTTGCGAGATAACCGCCCGAGTTCATGTTGGTCCAGACAACCTTGTAGATTGCGAGGCGTGCACGCGGCGCCATGCCGCTGACGGTGCCCAGCTTGCCCGCTTGCACTATGTTGCCCGCTGCCGCTCTGAAGTGGGGGGGGGGGGAGAAGGGAGGGAGAGCGGAGGGAGGGGGTAAGGAGGGGAAAGGGGAGGGATTGGGGAGGGAAGTGGAAGGGAGGGAAGGTGGGAAGGGGGAGCAGGGAAGGGAGAGGGAAGGGGAGGGCAGGCAAGTTAGGGAACGAGGTGTAGCCAAGGGAATGGCAGTGAGAGAAGGACAGGGAAGTTGGGGAAGCTGACTGGGCCAAGCGGATACGAGGTTGCACTTCTCTTTTCATGCCCATGCCCATGCCCATGTCCCTCCTTGTCCCAATTGCACCCATTCCTCAACAACTCCCTATTTTCTTCCACCGTCTCCCGCCCACACCACCGCCCCTTTCTTCCCTCCCCCTCTGCCCCCCTTCCCCGCTCCCCCTCTGCTCCCGTCCCCCCTCCCCGTGCGCGTACCCCGCACACCACGTGCCGTGGCCGTTGCTGTCGCGCGCGGACGAGTAGTCCACGACGTTGCTCTCCGCCCTGAAGCGCTGGCGGAACCCCGCGTTGAACACCTGCGCGCCGATCAGCTTGTTCGTGCACAGCCGCGCGGAGAAGTCGGACGTCGTCGTGCAACTCCCTGCCCACCGCGCGGGAGGCGCGGAATACGAGCGGCTTGTCTGAAAAAAAAATCGGGTGGGAGAGGGGGAAAGGGGGGAGAGAGAAGGGGAGAAAGGACGGGGGGGCGGGGGTGGAAGGAGGGGGGAGAGGGGAGGCAAGGGTGAGGGGGGAGGTGGGAGGGGGGAGGGTGGGGTGGGTGAACAATATAGAAAGGGGGGCTTAGTTGGCTGAGAAATGAAACGAGTTGATTGAGAGAAGGAAATTTTAACGAGATATAACGACAGAGGGAGGGCGGAAAAGCTACGGAATATAATAACACTGTACACTGTATTCGCGTACATTTGCGGCGGAGAACGAAGGGTGCTCGGGCCATATCCCCGTGTCAATCACGCCGATAATCACATTCTCCCCGGCGTTTTTCGGCCCGCCCGCGGAAGCCCACATTGTTCCGGGCAGCTGCAAAAAGTTGGGCGAGTAGTTGGTCAGCGGCCGAAACAGCACGTCTTGCCGAATCGATTCGACCGCTGGGTTCTGGCGAAGTTGCGAAACCTGCTGCGGCGTCAACCGCGCGGCGAAACCGTGCGAAGCGTACTTGAAGCTGCGATGGTGCGTGGACGAACGAGGAGGGAGAGAGGGAGAGAAGGACCGAGGGAAAGAGAGCCACGCTTCATTGGTCCGATGGGTTGGGTAGGGTTAACAACGCATCGCTGGGAGTTGATGGTAACACGAGCGCAGCGCAACGCAGCGCAACGAAACGCAAACGGGCATAGAAAACAATGGTTCTGAGGAGCCATCAAAATAGGCTCTAACCTGTAGAGAAGATTCGAATGAGGGATCTTCGCAGACGTCGCAACCGACAGCTGCTGGAGTCGCAGCAGCTCCGCGAATTGTCGCACAGCGCGCGATCGCACGTTCAGCCGCGGCCGATACCGATTTCGCATTTTCTTCGCCTGCCCTTGAAACCAGCCGATCTGATCCCGGGCCTTGTCGCCTAGCCGGTCCTTCACGCCTCCCAGCCATCTGCCACCGTTGCTGGCTGGACGAGCGCCGGCTGGTCTAGCAGTCGCGCCGCCGCCGCCTCCGCCACCGCCGGTGGCGGAAGCCGCACTCTCGGAAGAACTTCCCGCCCCGTCGTCGTCACCGCTGTTCTCCATGCTGCTCTCCGCGGCGGCGGCGGCGGCGGCGGCGACGGCTTCGGGTGCGGTGGGCGCGAAGCCCATTATTCCGCCGTTGTACGCGATAATGGGGGGCGCGGAACGGAGTGTTACGATGTACACTTCCGTGTCAGTAGACGCTCCTGCAATCGGCGGGGGAAGTTGGGAAAAAGGGGCAAGGAATGGGTGAAGCAATGAACGCTAAGAAAAGCTGGGGAAGAGAGAACGAGGAAACTAGTGAAGGAACGAGGAGAGCAAGATAGGTAACTGGAGAAACGAGTCGCTCACTCCTCACGTGAGACTCTGGCGTCGTCGCCACAACCACAGGCACGTTGCAACGACACGACAAGTTTCCTGACCCTCGCGCAAACCTAGCCCAACCCGCAAAACACGCGCTGCCTCCCACCCCCGGCTTTCCCAACCCCTCTTCCCTCGCCACATTTTCCGGCACACCCCTGTTCCGGCACCACCCTCAGGAGCGCCTGCACGTTACGTGAGACACTCTGGTCAGCACCCATCACGTCATTACTCCGCACCTGTCTACTCTCCTCATCGATGTTCCAGTTGCCCATCTACCTCGGCAACCCGACTAAGGCAAGCCGCAAGCCCTGCCTTTCCGCCGCTACTGCCGCCGTCATCTGGCTGTTCCGTCGTCATCCATTCCCGTTCTTCCGGTTCAGCAATCATCATCACTTCCTGTCGCTTAAGGTTCATAATCTGAGACACACATAAACGCCACTACGCACCCCTCAACCTACTTCCACTCCTTTGATCCCCCACCCTTCTCCCCGCACATCCTCCCGCCCCGTTCTCCTCTCCCCCCCCCCCCCCCACCTTCTCTCCACCCTCCCCCCTTTCCTCCCCCCCCCCCCCCCCCCCCCCCAAAACGCGCATTAAACATCACTCATACACGGCTCCTCAACCTCTGCTGCTGCTCGAGACGGTACCTTGGACTAGGGCGGCGGGAGGGCAGGCGACTTGCAGGAGCACGAGGAAGGAGATAGCGGCTGGCACGCAGAACGGCGTCCATACTCGTGGAGAGCGACGCGGAGACATGATTGCGACGTGCGGGAGTTGCGACGATTGCGCGTGCGACAGTTTGGACGACGGAAGGACGGAAATGACAAGAAAAGACGGCGTAAGAACCCGAAAAGCAGGACACTCTGACTCTATCAACTAGACGATTCTTGGCACTCGCGAGGTAATAATGTGCGATTCGTTGCAGCGCTCCGCTGCGAACGAGCTGTCCGCGGACTGGCGCGCTGGATATTGAAGCGCAAGCTAGGCTCACGAGGCAATACCGAGGCGGTCTAGTCTAAACCATTGCTGACTGAGGATGGGAGCAGTCTGAGGACACTAAGGTCGACCAGCAGAATAGATACAAATGATTACTGATAGGCGGAGGTTTACATTCTGAAGATAGCTTGTTCGTTTCGCGACGGAACAGAGTTTGGAAGCAAAACTTTTATCGAGCTCGGTGAAGGGTTGAAATTCTAGGTCAACATTCTGGCGGCGCACTGAGCTATGGCGCGCGTTGGATAGCAACCTGTCTGGTTTGGTCCCGGGAACAAGGCTGTTGTGTTTGGTTCTGTGCAAGCAAGCCTTGGAGCGGGGGGCGGATGCTCGCTGTTGCCAAATCGCCTGCCCTCCTCTCAGACTGGTCAGGGTGAGATAGATTGGGTTTGGCTCGAGCTCCAACCAAGTCTGTGCAGCAAGGGGGGGTGTAACAGTGTACGAGGAACGCTGGTCGGTCAGCTCAGTGCTAGGGGGCTGAGGTTGGGGGGACTTTCCCGCGGCACAGTGCCAGGTGGAATGCGAGGTGAGCGCTGGGGGGATTGCTAGGGTTCCCAGGGTGCGGAGAAGGATTTGCGCACTCGGAGGAATTGCGCACCCTGCCTGCGCTAAGTTGCAAGTAGTTAACGAGATGAAATACCGAGTGGTTGGGTGCAAAATCACATAATGAACCGTTCTAGAAGCCTCATCACCCTGGGTGAAGAAAAACCAAAACACGCCAGTGTAGGGGACATATGGGCGGCCCAGTGGATGGATGTGTAACAAGACTATTGTGCTCCGAAACTGAACTGTGCACCACTGTGTTACAGAAATAGCGGCGGTTCCTGAAATGTGGTGCGACGCGATGTAACCAGCACAAGCCCCGTGCATGTGCGACGACAGTGGGCATACGCTTGGGCATATCGACGGCCAAGCGTTTCTCACGGATCATTTCGATGCGGGAATAGCGATGCTCTGGGGGTCGTGGAATCGAAGTGGAGACCAGTACGACGCGATGCGATGCGATGCGACACCATGTCACAACCTCAAACGACGCCTGCCCCAAGAAATCAGCAGCCGTGGCACGTCGCAGTGGAGCACCACTCACCATGACGTGGCCTCACATCTTGCTTGCATCATTGTTGCTTCACACGCTTGGCTGTTTCTCTGCACATGAAAACGTCGACCCCGCTCTAAGGCAACAGTGGCTCCAGAGAAAACACCTGAAGGCAACAAAAAGGCTCCGACCCCGAGCGAACATATCCTCTATATAGCGACTTTTACGGAAAAATACCACTCCCCCAATTTTGTCAAAAGTCGGGTGGGATAAACTGCACTTGATGGAAAGGGATGCATGCATAAAGGGTTTTAGTTCAATGCCCTCGCGAATTCAATGGCCGTGCAGTTACTGTTGGAAACAAGTGATTTAAGCGCCTCTGTCGTGTCGAAGCGCTAAGTCGTAAACGAAGCGAAATACAGTGAAGCATCGGCGAGTCAACACTTGGAGGTTGAGGTTTGAAGAAACTGCTGGAGGTTACGCGAAAGTCAAAGGTCAGCGACCTTTGACCTGACAAGTATAGCACGACAGCAAGGACAAACAGCTGACTCGTTATTGAGAAGTTGCCCGAGTCATCACCGTATCGAACCACAACAGGCAATAGTAAAACAGTTATCAATTGTATCTCTTCATATTCCTTGTACCGTCATACCCTAGATATATCCCCATGGAGGACAATAATAAAAACAGGTTTTTTAAGGGGGGTGGGCTTGTAATCGAGTAAATTTATAAGCGCCGGAGTATATAAAATGACATTTGTTCTTTATATTTGTTAACACCAAACTGCAGATCTCGTGCTTGCCTTTTCAATCGAGTCGAAGTTACATGGGGTCGTATGTAAAATTCTCGCGCGCGCACGGAGATACACCCAATCTGACTCACATCTAACTCCTGACAGCTCCTGCTGACTGGACCCGCATGCAGTGCAGGGTCCAAATGTGAAGGGAACCGAATCTGCAACACATCCGCCTGATAAAGTAAAAATCGTTACAGCGTTTGTTGGAATAACCGAAAGGTTATATAAAGCATTCCCGAAGCTGTTCCACTGTACCAGTATCGCAATAGCTCATATAGAGCATGCGAAATGTCGAGGGTCACCAGAAGGTCAACCGTCTGAGGAAGTCAACGGTCGTGACCTTTGACAATCCAGTAACCGCGCGACAGTTAATTCACTACAACATGGTAACTGTCGAGCATAGCAATAGTCACGGTTACTGTAGCTATGTAATACAGTTAATAAGGGAATGTACCCCTCAGAGTACATGGCTAGCTAGATTTCTACTTAATCTCTTGTACTTCTATCTTTCAATCATCTTGTTCTCCTTCAATTATTATTCAACAAGGTCACTACAGAGACTTCATTGTCTCCTCTCAGACTTAACAGATTCTATCCCATCCACTGGATCCTTGGTCATATCAACATGGTATGAGAGTTAGAGTGGATTATACGATCTGTCAAGTCCTCGTTCTTCTCAGAACAATCCCTTTATAAAGTTATTCATCACACCTCAAAGTCTGCAATACTATGGCTCCTGAAGGAAAATCTACTGCAGACTCACCGGGCCCACCACCAGCAACGACTAACGCGCCATCAGCGGTGACCTCCGTCAGCGCCGCTGTCGTTGAGGAACTAGTCGCACGCATCAACGCCCTTGAGAGCCATCAAGAAATGAGCGTTGACGGCTCAAGCTATGCACGTGGCGTTGCTGGACTTCCTCTCCTTGGAGAAGACCGCCGCGTCAACTCCGAGAGATCCTTCACCTTTGACAATCGTCAAGGGTCAGATCTTGCACAAGACAACCCACAACGCTCACAGTCAGACATTGCTTCAATGCAAATCAAATTTGTACTGACTTCAAAATTGAAGACCTCAACTCGTTTCGACGGAAAGGATTTCTACACGTGGAGTTTCGAATTCGAGCTTCTCGCGACAACCGCTCAAATCTGGATGTACTACGACGGAAGCCTACCTTTTCCCTCGGAAGGTACCATCCGGGAGAAGCATCAATACTACCACGAATCCCTCCTCGCGTACACCGCTCTCCTTCGCAATCTCTCACCTGAAGAGCAGCTCGGCATTCGCTCTTATAAGACGGAGTGGGCTCCCGCGCAAGCCTTCTGGGAACACCTGCGCAACTCATATATGGCAATAGATCCAGTTACGATGAGCCGTCTACTCAGCCAACTGACTTCAGTTAAAATGAAGCAAGGTGAGAAAGCGGGGCCGTATGTCAACCGGTGCCGCAATCTGCGTGACTAAGTTAAGAAATGCGGTGGGACTGTCCTCGACGACATGTTCATCTCGATGGTCATCTCTGGCCTCGGCCCCGACTGGCGACAATGCCAGTCACTCCTTCGCGCCCGAGCAACCATATCAGAGTCAGCTATGTGCGCCACGTTTCTTTCGGAATAGAAGGAAATCGACCTGTACAACGAGAAGAATGTTAAACGGGAGAAATTATTCTTCTACACAGGAGCATCACAAGGGGAACAACGCGGAAAGAAGGGAGCTTTCTGCAAATACTGCAAGAAGTCTGGCCACTCTATCGACCAGTGCTACAAGCGTCAGGCCGCTGACGAGCGACGCAACGCTTCCAGCCAACAACCATCGACGCAGACAAAGCCCTCTGCCACTGTGTCGACTCGTTCCGTCGCCAGCACTTCCCAATCCCCTGCACTCATCACGGCGAAGGACAAAGGAAAGTTGAGGTACTAGGAAGGCTTAGGAGCCATAGCTAGTAGGTCGAGTAGTTGAGTTCGAGTGAGTTTGGGTGAGTCGAGAAGATTGCAACAAAAGAGTGGTTTCACTATAGA